AATCAAGGAGTGAATGTGTATAGCGTGTATGTATATGTGAGAGTGTGAGAGTGACAGAGAAGAGAAAGAGAGAAATAGAGACAGAAACAGAGAGAGAGAGAGAGACAGAAATATATATAGAGAGAGATAGAGAGACAGAGAGACAGAGAGACAGAGAGACAGAGAGACAGAGAGACAGAGAGAGACACTTTGCTCTGAGTAATCCCAATAATGGCCCCATTTCTCCTGGAAACAGATTAAAGTAAAAATACGAGACGCTAAAAAAAGAAGGAGAATAAAGCATACTACACAAAAGACCCAACCGACCACTCACTTGAATTTATCAACAAAATCCATGTTCAGACTCTCTTCCATTAGAATAATAAAAATCGTATTACTGTACTAGTAGACCCGGATGTCATTAGCGCTATTTTTAGACCACGTCTAAAGTCATATGAAAAGTCTGACATGAAAGTAACAGTTTAGATTGACGATACTTTTACAGCTCTACATTTAAATAACACGTTGATTTTACCGGCCGCACGCTCCCCTTTTTGGCTTTAGAACACAAACCCTTTCAATTATATTCCATGGCTATGTTGGCTTTGAGCCGTGATCGCCTTCCCGCAGTGCAAACAATGATGGGGGAGAAGCGGACACTATACGGACTCCGCTCAATACAGCCAAAACCTCGAAAAGGATTTTCAACAAAACCCATGACTGAGAGAGAAAACTCTTTTGAGAGAAGAGAATCATTTGAAAGGAATCAATATTCAATAGATCAATATGTGATAGGAAGCAATGATCGATCTGTGAATGGTAGCAGGAATAAAAACTGTTGACTTTCCAACAGGAATTTAGAATAACTATATAATTTATCCGTCATCGTAAAAGACATGTTTTCTTTGGTTGGACTTCTGGAAAGTTTGAAAGTGATTGTCCAAAAAACGTGACCTTGAAAAAAAAGCAATAATATGTCTAGGTGTTAAAGGAATATTATAAAAAGCGAAATCATCCAAATCATATTGCGTTATAAAATCTACATTAACTTGACGTCTGTTGTCGGTTTGTTTGGTCAATAACAACGTCTATTTACTGCCCACTTTCTTCAGTGCCGCGCAAAGGAAGATTGCATACACGTAAAAGTAGAACTTTTTAATATTATGCGTTTGCTGTGACGTCTTGTGACGTGTAAGCTTATGTGTTGTCGTGGGTGCTTCTGTTGCTCTGTTGGGTTATGTGGTGAATGGCTTTGGTTCAAATCATCGAATGGGGCGTTCTTGAACGTAGCCTATTTGAGATTTCGAAGTCCTCATTCTTATTGGAGATGGGCGTTGAATTCTGAGCATGTGCTTCTTATATAAACTAGCAACATTGACTTGAAAGGACCGTAAAATCCATACGATGATACACGTCACTTGTTGTAGCTGTACAAAGCTGACATAAGATTGGTGCTGCTCCCCAAATCTAGGCTCATTTTATAGAAGGCATTTCTTTTTATTGGGACTATTAATAAAGTTGTTTTATATTGTCTTTACCTTAGGTTTCCTGTTTGTACAAAATAAATTAGCTATCTAAAACTGCCTTCTTCTTTGGAATTTGAGGCCAAACACTACAGCATAGCATTATGCCGCATTTTCAATTCATTAAAGGTAACATTTCATGAAACACGTTAACGCTTGTGACATTTATCTCCTTTTTAGTTGTGTCGAAGATACTTGGCGACATTTATCTCTTATTTTGAGAAGAACGGCAATAAATTACAGCCTGTCAATCTACCATGCGCTGACAGCTCGCGGCACACACGCAAAAAAAGTTACGGGTCGTTACTTCGTAAGTGGCAAGTGCTCTAGGTGTGTTTCACCTTCATTTTACCCGAGTATGGAAATGGTTTATCCATTACCCTTTACATTTTGAAGTGGTTTTTGGTTCACGCATGTCTAAATATTATTGCCACACATTTCCTTTCAACATGTATATCGTCAATACTTTTGTTTGGTTGAAAACCTGTTGCGTACTTTCGGAATGTATAGTGTATATTTTTTCGAGAAGAGATTCTGATTTTACATTGTAATTTTTGTAAGTTTTGGTTTCAGTAAGAGTTTTACGACACTTGCAACACAGATAAAGGTCATAATATAAGTACCTGAAATTAGAGATTTTACAAGAGAGTAACATGTACATAAAGGATGGAAGAGGGATGTTTTTAGTTTTAGTATAGGGTTTTACGGCGCTCGCAACTGCATAGGTCATATGAGCGCGCGGGACACACCTAATATTTTCAGTTGGTAGGAAATTTGGAATTTTGCCCGGGTGGCGGCCGAAGCCTACTCTTGTCGATTTTAGACCACCAAGGGATCTTTAACGTGCGCAACTTGCACACGGGCCCTCCGAGATTTTTCGCCCTTGTCCGAGAAGGCTAGGTGTAGATCTTTCCTACCAGAAGATCAGGGGTGTGGCAGAAAGACAGCAGTTAGGAGGAGCCAAGGAGTAGCAGTAGAAAGTCTGCAGAAAGAGTCAGGAGCCCAGAGGAGGGGGCAAAGGAGGTGAGGGGGTGGGGGCAGAAAGTGGAAATGAAAGCAGACAACAGAACATTGTTAGAGATCAGGAAAGGATGTGAAAGGAGACAATTTTAGAGAAGAAAATTTTTTGGTCGCTACCCGGAATCGAACCCGGGACCTTTGAATGAGAGGCCAACACCTTAACCTCTAGGCCACGAGAGCCCCCGAAGAGGGATGAGGGAGATACTTGTTTGATTGGTAAGAAGAAGTAAACGCAAACCACACCAGAGAACCCACGAAATAATTGCTAAACGAGACAAACTAGACCACTGAGGCAGCTTCACCTCCGACCTGTATAACCCCAAATGAGAGAGATAGATCAACTCAGTAGAAAGATAGAGATAGAATAAACTTCCTCAATCAGGAATTGTCACATCTTCTGCTTGCAACGACCGACAAAGATCCATACGTATCCCAGAAACGCCAGAGTGGTTACTTCGTCCCCCCCCCCCCAATAAAAAACAAATACAAAAAAAGGAAATCCCACTACTATCGTAAGTCAGAATGCACTTTGGACAAGAATCTAACCAACGCAAGAGAGGCGGCACTAACCACATTCTCAGACACTTGACCAGAAATGGAGATCCCTTTTGACCTGTACATAATTATTTATTCAAATCAGGCTCTCGGAAAGAAGATAAGTTTTTAACATTTAGTTTCGTGTTTCCTTTAACCCGTCATTGGATCTCAATGCCACACAAATCAGGCTCTGTTTAACTCATTAGAAGATTTCAAGTGGGGTGTTTGTGTGTGTGTGTGTGTGTGTGTGTGTGTGTGTGTTATTCAGAAGATGTCAAGTTACATGAGATTTCTGGGTGTGTTTGCGTTACTGGATTAAAAAAAAATTCCTGTGCATGTACTTCTGGGTGTTCCAATTCCAGTGCAGTATCTTAATAGGCTCACCGCCATGATGTGGTAACCCCGTCTCAAACTGCGATCAACACCAGCCCTTTCATGAAACACACCCTACCCTG